CACAGTTACAGTTCTTGAATGGTAGATGTGGCTAATGGGATCACTTTCAAACCAAAAAGACACTTAGGGACTGATAAGAAAACTATTTTTTCAATTTAAACATTTTGAACTTATTTTTAACGAAACGTGAAATTTATGTAAAATTGTGTTATATCAGATAACTATACATGTTATTTCTTCAAGTTATTTTTACGGAATCAATCAAATATGACACAATTCAGTCTGAAGAAATAAAACTAACGTTCCAAATTTAAAGTAATTCAAACATAATACATAAATCAAATAGGTCAGAGTTGACAGCAAAACAGTATGTATAAATGTATAATCTGAGATTACCAATCAACACCAGTGTCCGGGTCAAATACTTAGGAGTCACTTTCGACTTGCGTGTGTCATTTACTACGCACATTAATAACGTTCGTAATAGAGCCGCGTTCTTCTCCGGCCGGCTCCACAATTTAACTAACGCTAAAAGTAAAATGCCCTTAAGGCACAAATTATTATTGTATAAGACCTGCGTACGACCTATTATGGGTATACGCGTGTCAGACCTTCGCCCACACGCGTCCTACTCGCTTGTACGTACTACATCCTGTGCGCAGTGGTATCAACGCAACGTTGATCTGCACAGCGATTGAGACTTCCGACGATTCGCGAATATTTTAAAGACCTGACCAAACGGTTTTTCGATAGAGCCGAATCCCAACCCAACTTACCAACCCGACACAAACGCGAACGTCAACAAGCGTCGCCCGCGAAACGTCCTCATCGACCTGGTCGAAGAAGGGGACTTAGATACGTCGGACCCACCGTCGGTGGTCATGCCGGATAACACTACACCCACAGCTAGTGTAACAACAAACACAATAGTTCGCCCTCGCCTCCGAGCACGGCGAGACCAACACAAAGCGTACACAATGTACACTCCCGTTACAGGGCGGTTCTCACCGCCCCCAGACACCGATTAGCTAAAAACACAGTCGGCCATCGGGATCCCGGTCTGAACCACAACCGCGATGGCCCTTAGATGACGCACGCATGAGCACATGCGCGGCCCTACCCACAGCGGAGTGTTCCAAACCCGTGGGTTCTGGCTAGCCTACCGGTTCTGCGTCAGATGAAGCTTTAATATTCTCGGGACTGAAAGCAAAAACATCAGTTAATACAAGATACAAGCGATATTCTAAATACTTAAATAGGAACTGTTTTAATGTAAAAATACGCTCTAAACTTGGGTCCAATACAGTTCCGCGTTATATGGCTATTCAGACAATGACTGCATTGACTACAATATCTTGCCGCTAGATCGGTGAAGTCCTCACGTCGGCGCCGCGCCAATTCACTACTACTAATGATTCAAAGTCAACTCCGCGTCGAGCGAGCTATTGAGAAATCTAATGAACGACTCAGAGTGAGAAGAAACAACGATTCAAAGTCAAATCCACGTCGAGTAAGCTAGCGATATGCTTAATGAACGAGTCAGAGTGAGAAAGAAACATAACGATTCGAGACATTCGTTGTCGCCTCTAAACCGGTGCAGGTTATCAGATCGATTCACGTTTGAATTTGACACAAATCGCTGGTCCCTGGATTTTTTTGTTTGTTTTTTAAATAATAGCAACTAAACGAAGCAAGGGTTTATCGTTATGAATCAGTGTCCTTAGGAAATAAAAAATACACAGTATAAGTAGTATTATCATGGTTCAAAAAACACATGCACCAGAAACTTGAAAAGAAGTTGTATGATTGTACATAACATACTAGAATGGATAGTAGTTTTATGCACCATCATATATTTGTAAATTCATGCCCTATAAGCAGAGCTGTTGTTTTAGTTTAAATTGAAACTTAAAATGTTTACAATTTATCTATAGAAATTCACATTTGAAGCTGTTATTATTTTAATTTTATACAAATTTTCCAAGACTTAAAAGAAAAAAAAAAGAAAATACTAAAAACTAATATTTGCAATAATTTAATCATATATTTCTTTACAACATTTTTTTTAACTTGAAATAGAATTTTAGTTTATCATATTTAATTAAAACATAAATTATTATATCATGAAAATATTAGATTTTTTAATGCGACAATTATGTTGATTGACATTTTACAGATATTGAGCACATTTTTTTAAAATAACTTAGTGTCACAATCCCAAAAATTCATGAAACTGCTGACTAAGATTATGTTCTTCAATAAAGTTTGAAAATCCAGTTTTGCCAAGTTTCGAGGAATGATTCTGGAAATTGATTTCTTGAAAATTCTGAAATTTTTGCTCTTTGACTTTATCATTAATGTTAAAATTTTCTGTTTGTCGTATTGATATTTTTTTCCAATTCAATGACTTTATGTATTTCCACCATTCCTTACAATCTTCATTATGTCCTTCAATGCATATTATACCTGGTTTTCCAGGTACACAGAATCCTGTCAAATTTAACTCTTTGGATTTTTTAACAATTTCTTCTCGTTTATATTTATTATAAATATGGTGTGAGAAAATCCAAAGTCTAACAAAAGTATCTGGTTTACTTTTTTCTTTTTGCAGTTGTATTTGTTCTGCTACATTGTCAGATTTGACTTTAAATTTATTGACATTATCTTGGAGCCATAATATTAATGTATACAAGCAAACTTCATTTTGAAAAACATCTTTAATATATTTTAATAAGTCAGAATTTAGTCTAGTTTCTTGTTGTCTATTAAATTGATTACATCGTACATACACATCTGGTTCTTCATTAGGATAAAAGCTTGGTAGATTGACATAAACATCAAACTTTAGCCCCTCAATAAGGAGTTTAAGAACTAAGTCGAGATTGTTTGGCACCAAAGACGATTTATTGTCCACAAAACTTTTCATATCATCTATGACACTATGATCGCTTATTATAATCTCATCTTGACTAGGATACATTGATTTCAATAAATCTAGCTCACTTAATTGTTTATTATATGCTTCTACTAAGCTTTCTCTTACAGCTTGTGTTGAATCCATATTGAAAATCAATCTAAAGTCTAAACAATCGTTAAAAAATTAAGGAGCTAATATATATTTAAGATGTTTACTGTCTCAGTTTATTCAATCGATCAGTATAATAATAAAATAAACATGTCTTATCTATGCGATCGATGTACGACGTACGTACGTATATCGATATTTTTTCATACAATTATCGATGTATATCGTAGATATTTTTTATCGCGACATATCAATATTTATTTTAGACTGTTAAATACCTTAAAAACTCTTTTCAACTACTTTCTATCCTATTTTACGAATTTTGAATGGTTTGAAAATATGTTTAAATAATCATGTGAGAAATCACGATATATCGATATTTTTCACCCGTAATTATATATCCTTTTTTTAAATGTCAATACGATAATATATATCTATATATATTTTTTTTCTTGCTCATGCCTAAACTAAAGTACTTTTTATGGAGGAAGGGGGAAACGAGCAGGAGGCTCATGTGATGATAAGTGATTACCGCCATCCATGAACAACCGCAACACCCGAGGGCCTTTGAGTATGCTCTCTTCTTAAAGATTCCCTGGTCGCAACGGTTTGGAAAGACCGCCGGCGATTCCACAGAGTGGTTGTTTGTTGCGAGGCATGAAATGGCTTGAAAATCGCGCTGTTGTGGAACGCTGGACATCGAGGTGCTGTGGATGAAAGTTTTGGTTCTGGCGCGATGTCCGATGGTGAAATTCAGCTGCCGGGATCAATCCAAACAATGCCTCGGAACTCTCCCATGATAAAACTGTAGAAGAGCTGCAGATGAGATGCAGAGTGATCCAACATCTCTACGCAGAGCCAAAATATCATAAAAACTCTGATAGTCGATAAACCTAGCCACCATACGTTGAATGCGGTCAAATGGAAGAAGCTGGTAATAGAGGCCTCCCGCGCAGAGATGAGAACAGTACGCCATGTCTCGTCTTGCTGAGCACGCCAAGCTTCTTTGAGGACAATTTGGCCTTACTTTCCAATTGACCGCGGAACTGGACGTTCGAGATTGCAATGACAAGTATTCCGATACTAGCTGTGACAAATAGTGTTCTCGAAATGAGGAGTTAGGACAAATGGGGACTAGTACTACTTTCAGATAGATAAAAGTACTATGTGGTGTGATGTACATGTACTCTGTGGGCGTGGGATGGATTTAGGAGTGAGGCCTAGCATATTTATCGTAAAAGGTTATTACAGACATCTTGAGATAACAGACTATGCTTTTACGAACAAACTTAAATAACAGTTCCTGTCCTGTTCAACTTCTTTTTTTTTTATGTGAAAAGTTGCCAAACGAGCAGACGGTTCACCAGATGTTAAGAGGGTTTGCAGATGCGTTGACAACCTTGTTGGAAATTGGGCTCCGGCTACCTCACTCACCAGACGAAACGCGAAAGTATTGTGCTTACTCCGGTCTTCAGGAATTTACCCGGAGAGCCTAAAATTCATGCAACATTACGCTCCGTGTCCCAGTACCAACTGAACCCATTGTTTCTTAACACGTCTGTCACAAGCTCTTTTTTCTTCTTGCACGGTTACCTATAGTTTTGATAAAACTATTACGTCCTGTCACAGTTGTTACTGAACATTTTGTCACTGTCTGTCACAAGCTCTTTCTTCTTTTAGAAAAAGAAGTACGCATGTGCAGCATCATAACTTATTTTACCTGTTATTACATACACTACTGTTATTACGCACATATCTACAAAAAAAATTCTAAAGAAAAAAATTCTGTAATGAAAGAAAAATTTCACTTGTTGTCAAAGGAATTGTCTTAGGTTATTAGGAAAAAAAAAAAAAGAATTGTCAAGTTAATGTCAATGTCAAAATTGTCATATTTCATGTCATGTTATGTATGTACTGTGTTTTTAATTTTTTAGAACTAAATTTTCTTAAAAAATAAAGTTTTGAGCGCAATAGTTCCAACTTGGTTTTCATATTGCATTTAAAGTTGACTTTTTCGCCTTAACCATTGAACAAAATGGCTTCGCCTTTGGAGCAGTTTGTAAATAATGTTAGAACTTCATCAGCCTCAGGTGAGGATTGTTTTTTAAATTAATATACAATACTGGTCAGATTGGTTATTTGAACTCTTTGGAAAGCAACTCATGTTAATAAGGTTTTGAAAACTTTTGTATAAGGATGATCCTATAAGCGTTGGTTTTTTCTATTCAAATACGATGCGAGTGATTTTGAGGCGAGAATTGTTTTTTTAGCTAGAGTATTTATTATCTGATACTACATAACTGCTACTGTCAGATGTGCTGGTACTCGAGCACTACCCAGCTTCTTACATATTAATATGAAAGGGCTATTAGATAAACTTTCTGAGGCTACATTTTATTCTTTATAATTCATTTTAATAAAACTTATCACTTAACTTTGATATTATTTGAATATCTATCTTATTACATTACAGGTCATTTTAGAGAAATAGTTGAAATGATAGGAAAGTCAGATGAGGTCTTACAAAGAAATATTGCTCATTTAAATACAGTTTTGGAGACTTTAGATGTACAGCAACATTCTCTCGGAGTTTTAGCTGTTCTTGTTGCAAAATATGCCAATCCACAGGTAAACCATATACAGCGTGTCATTACAACAGCAACAATAAATGAACACACATATAGAGGATAACTTTTTAAAATTGTATTAAGAATTTACATTCTTTAAACATCAATATTTACCGAGTTATTAAATTTTCCAAAACAAACAATTTTAGAACACCATTACGTATAAAACTGTAACGTAAAGTTCATTTGTAAAGGTCACAAAGCATATGAATGGGTTGAATGAATTAAAAGGAGGAGAGACTTGTAACGCAACACTGTAGTAATAAATGAAAAAGTCTCTGAATATATGTGTCAGTCAGTTGTAGCTGTATAGGTGTTACAAATTTTGTTTCTTTTTTTTTATTAAATTGTTTTGTTTGAAAATTATTTTTTTATGGATTTTTTTTAGTTTGTATGTTTTTATGATATTGGCAAGTAGCGTTAGAAGTGTCTTAATTTAATTTTGCGGTTGTAACAACATGCTGTATAATTTTGCATTTTAATATTTAAAATGGTTATTGAATATTATTTTGCTGTGATAGCTCATTGTCCGAGCATTCACTTTTTATTCCATATTTCCCTTGTCAATGAAATTGTTAATTATTTACTTTACTCTTATTATTTTAAATTGGCAATATAATTTTCAGGGAATGAATGAAGCTGATAAAACTAATATGTGTGCAAAAATTCATGAATTCATCACCAATTGTAATGGAGAACAAGTAAGATTGAAACCTGATTTGTGTAAGTAATTAAATATTTATAATATATAACATGATTGCTTTTTAAAAAAGAAAAATTAATTAAATTTACTTCTCAATTTCAGATGCGGAGCTATGCCATCAACTTACAGAGCATCTTATAGAAATGAAACAACCAATAAGGGGTATTGAGATACTGAAGAAAGCAATAAAGAAAATACAATTATTTGATTCCCAGTTGACCTCCATACATGCCGATTTATGTCAACTTTGTTTGCTTTCTAAATGTATGAAACCAGCTCTTGAATTTTTAGATACTGATATCACAGGAATTGGATCAGAGGTAAATTTAGTATACTTCAGGATTACAAGGTTCTATTAAGATGCATAGACATCATTGTATGATCCACAGCTGTTTCTGTGGCAGAACAACAACATTTAAATAACCGCTCCTGCGGTACATCTGGTGAAGTTCACGGAGGAAGGGCATAAAGTTGTATATGATTTTGTGTATGTTTACTAAATGACCCCATTCTTTTAGTGGTTGGCAATATGATTGCAACATTGTTGGTGTTGTGAGTATATATATGTTGAAGATGGATTGTAAAATCTGCTGTTTTATAAAACCGCTAGTTGTTCTACATGACAGGTGCATTATATAAAACAACTGAATGACGTTTAGTTGTTTTATATCATTAATGGACTGTAACGCTAGGATCAGGCTATGTTCACACCGCATTCTCCTGCAGATTTTTGCAGTGTTCGATTTTAAATGTACATTCAGGTGGGTGTTCATACGGTAGATTTTCATTCGTATTAAATAATAATCGCCATATGGAAAAAGGGAGTCATAGTGTTTCTGATAGAATACCAACTTATTATTAAAAAGCCAAATGATAATTAGCATGAAAAATGGAAGAGAGATAACACTGTATCCCTCACTTACCAACTCAGAAAAAGCCATACACATACAATAATCTCACCCATCAAACAAAACAAACTTTACTAAACAAAAAGAAATATTGAAACCAAAATACTACAATATGTGGGAAGAGATAGAACTACTTCCTAAGTAACACACACTCGGAACTTAACAAAGCAACAGACTAGAAACAAGAAGTGGAAAAACAATAGAAATACAGAAAAAACATAACAGAATAACATAACAATTACCTATATAATGTTCCAGAAAGGTGAAATTGGAGACCCACTTAAAAAACTACATTGAAGATTTCATCGGAGTGACAGACAGAATAGCCATACTACATATAAAAATACCCAGCTACAAAAAAATATTGGCAATAATCCAAGTCTATGCGTCAACTAGAAAAGCTGAAGAACTTGAACACAAATCCTTCTACAACACATTAACTCAAATCATATGACTACTCAAATAATATTATTATTCAGATGGGGGATTTTAATGCGCAAGTAGGTTCTAGGCAATAGAAGATGAATATGTACTGGGAGAATTGGGACATGGAAAGAGAAGAAAAAATGGCCAACGATTGATGGATCTCCTCCTAGAACATAACCTTACTTTTATAAATAGCATCATCAAAAAGAATAAAAATAACTAGCGGACATGGGTCTCCCCTGATCAAAAGTATTGAAATGAAATAAATTATATTATAGTAGTAGCCACCCAAAACTGTTTGTAGATACTCCAGTAATATCTAGACTAAACTCAATACTAAACATTGCATGAACGATGGATGTCGCCATTGTTATTTGAAATTTATATCAAGTTTTTGTAGTAATAATGCAGAGATTAGCACTATGAAAATTAACTTAATATAAAACTTTAAAGAAACTCGTTCGTCGAAATTGAACAAATAATAAGATTGAAAATAAAAATATAGTTATAACAGAAATTAATATTCAATCAAGCTAAGAAAAGGACTTGAATTCAGATGTTTACATAACGGAGCTGGTATATGTATAAAACAGGGTATTCAACAATCATTCAAATGTTCTGTGGGACAGTTGGTAGTAAAAAGGAAGTTAGAATTATTTCCATATAAGATTAATTTTTATATTTACCCTAAAAGATTTTAGATTTACATGCAATAATAATGTGAACTTGTTAAAAATATTCCAATAAGAAAAGTGTTCTATAAAACTTAATTAATTAAACGAATTTCTTTTCATTTTATTTCAGATGGGTGGGAATAATGATTCCAAGCATTTTCTGTTGTACTATTACTATGGAGGGATGATTTACGCTGCCATGAAAAACTATGATCGCGCGTTATACTTTTTTGAAGTCGTTGTTACCGTTCCAGCAATGGTTGTATCACATATTATGCTTGAAGCTTACAAGAAGTACATTTTGATCTCATTAATTCTGCACGGGAAGGTAATATTAACAAAAAAAATATATATGCTTTATTATTTTTAATGAAAGCGAAAGAAATGCTAGTAAGTGTTTACACTGGCGACACCCCTAGACTCTTAAGTCGACCTGACGCTATTACTATTTAGACAAACACTTTGGCCGATGATGATAATGATGATTTCGGTGGCTCGTTTCGCAAATGAAGATTAGACGTAAACGCTGAGAAGAGTGTAGCAGTACACTTCACTCGCACCGGCCACGTAGCTAACTCCAACGTCACAATGGCACAAGCTTGTCCGAGTAGAAAGTTAGGGCAAATGAAATTAAAATGCCCACCGATCGTTTCGATCGAAGTTTAAAGTACCAAGGAGTCACTATAAGACTCTAAAATGATTCTCGCTACACATAATAAAAAAAAAGCGAGGGCCGTGTAGGTTTCGGGCCGGCTCTATTCCCTGAACTATTCCCTCACGTAAAATTCTCACAAACTTTTGTAATACAAAGCATGTGTACGATTCATAAAATCCTACTCTAGTATGTTCTTTGCACACGTAAGCGCCTCAAACCTGCATAAATATTAGTTAATTCAAAATAATTTTATCCGCCCCGACACCGGTGCTAGGCTAGACGGTATCGACTTAACGTTGAACTGCAGAGTGAGTCTCCCGATACCACGCGAATATTTTCAAGATATTAGGTGAAAACTCGTCAAACGAGCATCCAGTTCATCTGATCTAAGGTGATTATCGCCGCCATTAGGACGTCTTCAACACCTGAGCGTTTGCAGATGCGTTGACAACTTAAAAGCATTGGGCCGCGGTTACCCCAATCACCAGAAAACGCGAAAGTATAATACTTCCACTTGACGCTGCTCTTCTGCGAGGCCGTGGAATTTCCCCGGACGAGCCTGCCCATTTGTGTCCAAGCCTGCCCAAGCAGTTGCGTGGCCATGGTATCATTATCAAGAGTTAATAACCAACAGTTCATCGAAAGATCCGAAAACCATTTCAATAGTCTGGTGGTAAACAGGAAGGAATCATAGGAATGTTGAAACCTCCGGGGGTCCCACTACTTCTTGTATCTTGTATTAACTGATGTTTTTGCTTTCAGTCCCGAGACTATTAAAGCTTCATCTGACGAAGAACCGGTGGGCTAGCCAGAACCCACGGGTTTGGGCCTTCCGCTGTGGGTAGGGCCGCGCATGTACTCATGCGTGCGTTTAACTACGACATGTCATCTAAGGGCCATCGAAGTTTCGGTGCGGACCGAGAGCCCGATGGCCGTCGACTGTGTTTTTAGCTAATCGGTGGCTGGGGGCGGTGAGAACCGCCCTGGAACGCGGGTGTACCTTGTATACGCGTTGTGTTGGTCTCGCCGTACTCAGAGGCGAGGGCGAACTATTGTGTTTGTTGTTGCTGTGGGTGTAGTGTTATCCGGCGGTACCCCCGGCGGTGGGTCCGGCGTATCTAAGTCCTCTTCTTCGACCAGGTCGATGAGGACGTTTCGCGGGCGACGCTTGTTGACGTTCGCGTTTGTGTCGGGTTGGTAATTTGCTGCGCTTACCACCAGAGGGTTGGGTATGATGTTCGGCTCTATCGAAGAACCGTTTGGTCAGGTCTTTAAAATATTCGCGAATCGTCGGGAGTCTGCAATCGCTGTGCAGATCGACGTTGCGTTGATACCACTGCGTACCGGTTGCACGGCGGATGAACTTATTTTGTACTATTTGCAGCTTGTACAAGCGAGTAGGGTGCGTGTGGGCGAAGATCATGCATGCGTAGGACATAATAGGTCGTACGTAGGTCTTATATAATAATAATTTGTGCCTTAAGGGCATTTAGTTAAATTGTGTAGCCGGCCGGAGACGAACGCGGCTCTATTACGAACGTTATGTGCGTAGTAAATGACACGCGAGTCGAAAGTGACTAGGTCCCACTACATTACATATTATCAATTAGTTTGTCACCTATTATTAATAGTCTCACAAAAATTGCTATTTAGATGTTTAAAAAGGGTAACAAATTGGGTTTAAAAAGGGTAAAGGGTATTCCATACCCAGAAATAATTATTAGTAGGTACTACTTTATTAATTTGTTATTAACATGTTCAATGCCATGGGCGCTGTAGTAAAATTAACATGCGACTTGGGGCACAGGTTTTAATGAATAGGCTAATAGGATTTAATTTTTTTTTCACATCTTTTGGTTAATTACTATTTTCAGATTTTGACTATGCCTAAATATACTTCACAAGTAGTATGCAGATTTCTTAAGCCATTATCTGTTGCTTATCATGAGCTAGCGTCTTCACAGCATGCAGCTATAAAGCATAGGGAGACATTTGTACGTGATAAGAACATGGGATTGGTAAACCAAGTAAGTACATATATTTTATCAACATTGTTTGCTTTATGTAAAATACTTTGATTATTGTTGTTTACATTTATATCAGAAAAAAAATTTTTCAAAATACATTGTTTTGCATGTAAAATACATTGTGTTCCTAGGCACTTTTTTGTTAAAATTTATTAACATTATAACATGAGGCTATACAAATATGAAATTATAACTAAAAATGTTTCAATATCAGATTATACATATTTGTGATTTTATAGACGATGTACATTTCAACAGAGCATATTATGCAGAATTTTATAATAAAACTGAATCTGGTACGTACTTGTGACCTCATTTTTTTCAAAGATTATTTTTAAGTTTTTCACACCTTAAGAAATTCCTGTCTTACCGTCTCTATACAATTACCTAATCACGAGCATTAAAACTCTGTGCTGAACGCATAATTACTAAACCATTTATCAATAGGGTGACCCCTCTTAACAGGATAAACAAACAATGTATGAATTGATATTTTTCTGATTATTTCCTGTCAAAATGAAATATTAATATTTTTTTGAATTATAGAATGCTCAATTAACATTATGTCAAAGTATGTACTTCGTGTAAAAAACACCCTGTATCACTCAAAAGTTGACTCTTCAACCTTTACATATAAAATTTTTCAATTCTTTTGCAACATCAACTAATCAAATGCACTCAAAAATTAATCTATTACCCAACCTCGAATAGTTCATAAATACTAGTACCCTTGATAGATTCCTTATATACCAATCAAAAGATTACATGTTATATTAGTGGATATTTAGAAAAAGCATTTGGTTTTAGCTGATTCATCAAGTCTGTCATAGTTAGTTTTGGGCAACATAAAAGAACAACAAATAACTAACTGTGTAATACTGTTGATGACTGGTTAAAAAGAAGCTTGTGAAATTATGTTTTACGTTTTCATATTATAGAATTGTTCACATTTTTTTACAGGTTCTCAACTCAATGTATAAGAAGAATATACAGAGGCTCACTAAAACTTTCTTAACATTGTCACTGAGTGATGTAGCATCAAGGGTGCAGTTAGCTGGTCCAGCACAGGCTGAATCTTATGTACTTAATATGGTAAGTCCAAAGTGTAAATGAGATGTTCAATAGTTTCAAATTTTGTTTAATTTTAAAGTTAATGTTATTGTTTTATTATTGGTATCATAGATTGAAGAAGGGGAGATCTATGCAATGATAAATCAAAAAGATGGCATGGTTGTATTTTTGGATAGCCCTGAAAAATATGCCTCACCAGAAACATTATGTGTATTAGAACAGCAGATGGCTGCCTGCACTAAACTTCATCAGTATATACAGGAAATGGATGAACAAATACAAGTCAATCCTCAAGTGAGTATTATTCATAAATATGTGACAATAATATAAAGATCATAGATATATGATTAGAAATTTAATAAAATTTAAAACATTTCTTGAAATATATGTCATGGTTGTTTTGTTATTTCAGTATGTTAAGAAGTCTGCGGGAAGCCATGAAGAAGATATACCTGCTACAAGTCAAAACTCAAAGACAACTTATTCTATGTAAACTTTATAATAAAAATCAATTAAATGCATTAAAATATGTAATGTAAAAGCCATTTCTTTAAATGTAGTGATATAAAACAAAATATTATTCACAAATCTTTATATTGCCTCATGTACTGCTTCAGTAAATGCTGTCATGCTTTCTAATGGAGTTTGTGGTGTTATTCCATGTCCCAAGTTTGCTATATATCTATGTTTACCGAATTTTCGCACCATATCTATTGTCATGGATTTGATTTCTTCCTGCAAATTGGAAACATTGTTGTTTATTATATATATTACTAACAACTTTTATCACACAATGTGCAGACATATTTAGTTTCACATACTGGAGTCTTATATAAATCCTGAGGGTCAAGATTTCCCTGTAAAGTAACCTTGTCACCAACTATTTTTCTTGCTTCAATTGGGTCCATTGTCCAGTCTAATCCAATTACTTCATATCCTAATTCTGCTTGTACATCTAAAGAATGTCCTCCTCCTTTAGCAAAAACTGTCTGTAATAAATAAGTAGTATTTGTGTTCTGATTTTGATTATTTGTTCATTCCCAACAAAATTTATTATTTTTATATATTTAATATCTGGAGACTTAAAACAGGTTTCTACATATTTTCTATTTCCAATACACACTTAGAGGTACAATTATTGATGAGGCTCAGAGACATAAAATAGAACTAAATTCCTTCATTTAAGAAATTCTGTGATGAGGGGCTATGAGTAAGCTTACCATAGGAACTTGTTCCAAATTCTTCACTTCAAGTTTTTTTTGAACACCAGATCTTATATTTCTTAGGTATGGTATAGACAGTTCTATAAATTGTTCTCTTGTTAGGTGATCTGCACTGGATTCAAAGACTTGTAGCAATTGAGCACCACTTTCAACCTATGAAATTAAAATTCTTGTGGCAATTGTTCAAAAACATTTGTAGTGTTTAGAGATGGGTAATTTATGTTGAGAATTGAATTTTCACAGGTAAAGCGATTCAGCAGTTCCAGCAGCAAATTAAATCGCAGAAAAATAGCTACTAATATTCTTATTAATGATAAATTTAGTTAAGTAGGTAACTCAGTAGGTAGGTAAGGTTGGATACATAAGAAATGAAAAACTTTGATAAAACTATTCCAAGGTTTTTAACCTTAGCATTTGACATTTAGCATAGGTTATCTGTTACATGTTTAGGAATGGCTAGTATTTATTTTTACTAAGAATTAATATGAATACCTGCTATACATAGAGACTTACTTCAATTAGTGCTTATATATCATTAGTAGAGCCCAGATTAATGTGTAAATACATATTTAAAATTTTTACGATTTTTCGTCTTGAATGTGTTCTCTACATCAATTATCATATATAGATTGTGAAAAACAAATTTTTATGTTCTATATTTTTCCATATTTCATGGTTAAGTCCATATTTTACAAAACATGTCACAATCATCCATATTTTTGATTTTTATATCATGGAACATGTTAGTTCACAAAAATTGATATAATTTTACATGTTTGCATTCTCGCAACTAAAGCATATTTTAGCCAAAAATAAAGGATTTGATACCTTAAAAAAACTTAATAAAGTTCTGTGCGGAAGTTTTGAGGCTACTGTAGACAGGCCTTACACAATTACAGAATTAGGCATCTTTAAGTACTCTCCCATTACATCATATTGTGATGTGGAAAGATCTTTCAGCCAATATAAGGCTATATTTAGACCAAATCAACAGTTTTAATTTAGATAATTTAAAAAAGCATGTCATTGTGTACTGCAATCAATTTAATAAGACAGATTTTGTGGAAGATGAATAAATCTCATTTTTTTTATTTTAATTACCTCAACATTTCATTGTCTTTAATGTAAATGTTACTGTAGTATGTTTTCACAATAAACATTGTTTAACATGAAAGTTATTTTATACTCCATATTTTACATTTCTTGGTCCACATTATATGTACATATTATGAATTTTTTAATACATATTTATCTGCACCCTAATCATTAGTATAGGTTATTTGTAAAGTCTAAGACTGAATGTCTGTGGGCATACAAGAGATAATTTAAAAATAGTTAAACGCCATTGATGTCTCTTTTCTAACTAATCATTATGAATAAATTTTACCTGCATTACAAGGTAATCTATGATAACCCTTGTTAGTAAACTGAGAAGTCTATGTACATCTTTGGGGTACTTTTCAAGCCAGTCTTTAGTCTTAGACATTGTTTTACTTCCTCCTCCTTCAATCATGTATCCCATTAAAGTAAACTGAAACATTTAATACATTTTGTATGGAAATCATGTGAATTATTTTCATTAATAATGAAGTCATTTTTAATAATTTTCTTACTGGTGCCCCTGTGAATCCAATTAAAGGCACCTTTCCTTCTATTTTGTGCCTTGTTAAAGTAATAGCTTCACCCACATAAGTTAATCGTGATATGGCTCCACCTTCTTGTAATTGATCTATTTCTGAAGGGTTTTGAAGGGGTTTTGGAAACACTGGTCCCTGAAATTATATTTTCTTTTATGATCAAAATAATTGACAGTCAAGTGTCAATTAATATTTATTTTGTCCTGCTTACCAAACCAGGATGCATCTCCACTGTCATACCAAGAGCTTGTGGTATAACAAGTATATCACTAAAAATTATTGATGCATCTAAATGTTCATAGCGTCTCAATGGTTGTAGTGTTACTTCACAAGCTAATTCAGGAGTTCTACAAACTGTAAAAAAGTCATGTTGGGCCCTCACTGCCTGAAACTCTGGAAGGTATCTTCCAGCTTGTCGCATCACCCATACTGGTACCTTGTCTACTTCTTTTCCAAGAGCTGCCCTCAACAGTCTATCATTTTTTAGGGCAGGTAAGTTCTTTAACAAGATTTAAATATTAGAAATTATAATAAATCTTATATATTAATTTATTAATTACTCTATAGATTAAAAGTAGTTTGGGATGCAGCTAGCTGCTTTTTCTTGATATAGTAGATATTCATACTGCTAATGTTAGATAATAAATGAGTGGCTCCATGTAAAGCTAAAATTACATCAACATAGTGAAAGTTAAAATCCTTGAAACTATTTCCAGCAATTCCTTCAATAATCCAGTCTTAAAATTTACGTATCATTTTAATAATTTTTAAGATAGTTATAGGATAAAAAAAAATATTCAAATAGTCAAAAGCAATAGGTTTTCTTTATTTCATATAAAAAGGGCTTACTCGACATAGTGTTAAATTGTAACAAACATGTCGAAAATAACTTGTTGGAAATATGTAGAACCAAGAAAGATTATATTCGATTAAGAACGCAATAAACACTTTTAATTAAGTTAATTTTACCATGTTGATAAAAAGACACTTACCTTATTAGAAAAAGCCATTTTTGCTAGGGAATGGAATAACTGTTTAATGGTTTGAATTTCTACAAGTTCGAATACTTTCTGATAACTTATCACGGTACTATCAAAGTCAGGCAGTTAATAAAAACATTTGCAAGAATTCATTTAAATTCAAATCGTCTAATCACTTTCAAATTCACGGTTGCATGACATAATTGACATATTATGTCAGGTCAGATCACAGAAAAGTCTTCCTAAGGCGTGAGTACGAGTGTTTTGAGCCATAAAAGTAATACGCTATTTTTTCACTCACTTTGAGAGCTATGCCGGAAGAGGTCTGCTGATAGGTGTACCACATACACAGAAGAGAACTAAAAAGCTGTTGCACGGACACAACACAATGATGCGATCTGCTCTGTTGCAACTTCGCGACTCCTGTAGACGACAGATAGAAAATTGACCCATTACTTCGTCGATTGTTTTCTCATTTAATATTCATAAAATAATAGCTAATTATCCGTTAAATTAAAAGAATAATATAAAATTTTATCAAAATAAACAGTTTTTATAAGTTAACTTTAATAAATTCTCATTCTATACTGCGGTCATAAAACACCCATATGCTCAATGACCGACACTGCGCCACCATGGTAGTGGGTCACATACATACAGTGCGTTTGCAGAAACGAAAGCAGAGTTCTGTTACATCGTTAAACATATCATAAATATGAAAAATTAAATATAATAGTGTTTAAACATCACGTTTTGTGGGAATTCAAAAGACGCGCTATATGTACATCTCTTTAATTTATAGGTAATGGTTCACGCATTCTTGCCCTTATGACGAGATTCTCAGTCCTTGCCTTTTTGAGCTGTCGTGTGACAGAGAAAGCGGTTTATTATGCAGTTTTTTTTTTGGATGACTCTAATTGTCTCTCTAATTTTAGCCGTGGTAGGGCCACGCAGCAGCCTTGGTTGTTGCACGAATGGGCAGGCCCGTCCGGGTAAGTACCACGACCTCACAGAATTCCAGTGTAAAGTGGAAGTATGACAAATACTTTCGCGTTTCGTTTAGTGAGTGAGGTAGCCGGAGCCCAATTTTCAAAAGGTTGTCAACGCATCTGTAACCCCCATCCATGCAGTGTCCATGGGCGGCGATATTCACTTACCATCAGGTGAACCGTCTGCTCGTTTGGCAACTTTTCGCATATAGCATTAAAAATGGACTTAAATAATTAATGTTTGGTTGAATTAAACTTCTACAAGAAAGAATAATGTTAAGTTAGGTGAATGAAGTGAATTTAGATGAATTGAATTTAGGTAAAATAGAAGACTACTGTTCACTTTATGTACCGTCTTCATTTTATGTACGGACGTAAAATGTTTTTTAGTTAATTTGAAATTTCATCATAGATGGCGCCGGCAGACGTCACTGTACACTAATAAATGCGCAACCGCAATTACATATACTATTTTTACATATAATTAAACATACATTTTGAATCTATTACACACTTTGATTTGTAATGTATTACACATAATATTAAACCTACATCTATGAGTTTTTCTTTTTGTTTTTTTTTTTTTACTTAGGAATAGGCAAACGACGCATAGAATAAATATTTGCATAACATTATACTGTCGCCTGATTTTGTAGAAAAGGAAAATTTATTACTTTATTTTTAGAAATATACTATAGAGTTTATGAGTAGCAGCAAGAAAACATTCTGTTAATTTCAGTCATTGTAGAAGCGTAGTTTGAAAATGTTCTTATTTTACCGTTAGATGTCGCTACTGCAAAGTAAGACAAACATATGGTATAGTAAGGCTTAACGCATAACAGTCAATTATTCTTGATATGCGAATTATGACAATTATAACATTTTGCGGACTTTAGACTTTCCTATTAGTATAATACTATGCATTTTGAAGTCAAATTTCTGTCGTAAAGGATTTGATTGTTCTATAACACGGACAATGTCTCTTTAGACGTATAATGTCTGAGAGTATTGGCACTATAGTAGAGTCCTTATGTAATAATGTAAAAAGACATCAAAACAAAGAAACATCCTCTCACCCCAAACGCATATACCGTCTCCGTTCGGTCGTGGGTAAAAAGATTGCGATTACTAACAAAAGTCTATATATATTTAAAATTTGTCTTTATCAAGTAGAAGATTTTATGTTATATGTTTTAGCAAATGAAAAGAAATTTTATGAACACTAAAGAATATACATAGGAAATTTATTAAGACAAGGTTTTTATTTAGAACAAAATCCTCTTCAAATTCCTCTTCAGGCTCCAATATACATGGAATACCGCCTAGGCATACTGAGGATCAAGTTATTCAGCACTTCTTGAAGTAACCGGTCCCATTGTTGAATAGCCGTTTCTCTGTAGGGACTGGTGATTCTTCAACGAAAAGACAATTGGTTCCGAATTCCGTTGGAAATTCCAAATGGTTTCCTCCTCTTTTTCTTCATTTTCCGGAGCCTAGCCCACTGCAATCGCCGATGCTGCTGTGAGTTTAGAAGGGTTTGCCGAGACGTAGCTCGTAATCTCGCACTGGTAGCCCGCAACTCTGCTCTTAATCTTGAATGGCATTGATTCTTGGATCAGGGGCTATCAGCAATCTTGGATCTTGGATTCTTGGATCAGGGGCTATCAGCAATCTGATACAGCGATTTTGAGCTTAGATTTAGAGCTTTTAGTCAGATCATTTGGACGACTACAGCGGTCCGTCAGCTAAATTATTCATGCCGTGGTACATCGTAACGTGGTCATGATATAGGATTTGGATACACCAACTCTGCGTGCTATTTCTCTGGTAGAATATCATTTTTCCAATCCTTTCTAATTCGTTTGGGATTATTTTAATCAACATTTTACTGTAAAAATAGATAAAACCTTCAAAATTACAGAATGTTGAAAATACATAAGAAGTGCCAGTGTACTAGAATATTATTTCAGGTATTTTTGCAATTCAAATATTTGAGAGTCCTATTTAAGTTCGTTGTTTTTATGAAATAATTAGTCTTTAATACCGAATCTATAATATGTATTTACTCCTTATGATGTAGAGTCATGTTACATTATAGTAATAGTAATTTATTATGAGTAAGACTTGAAATTTGACAAGTTATGGTTGCAAGAACTTATAACATTACTGTCACAGAATTCGAGTGGTTAGGAGTTAATCCAATAAAGGGATAAAAAGTAGATAGGGTCCTTAAATATACAAAGTTTGCGAGAGAAGTATTCTACCTGCCATCGCATTTCTATCAAAACGTGAAAAAAACGAATGAGAGGGGTCCGCCATACTTTTTGTTAGTGTTGTAGCGACACAAGGCGACCTTTCACTATAAGGATTTTTTTGTATCAAACCTTTATCCTCGTCTCCTAATAAACTTTATTCGCTTCGAGTGAATAGTGATGCAGCTATTTTGTTAGTTATGACTTGCGGTGGTTCCTACTGATCGGCTTATATGAATTTGCTTCGCTTCAAATCCCCTACAGTTCATAATGGCCGACTTTCGTTAATATAGATTCCAGATATATAAAATTTCATATGGGACGTATGCCGCAACAGTTCTATTTCAAATTATCCTTTATTTGTTTTTGAAGTGTTGTTTTCCTTTAATTCCGATCGCAAGTAAAACATTACACATTGAAGATCGCAAGTAAAATTTTAAATTTACATATGTAATGTTCTCAATTTTGCACAGTTTCAAAATGGTATAAAATATGCACAAAAAAGTAAAGTGTATGTAAGAAGTGTTATACTTTAAATTGTTTTTAGGAACTTGTTTGCAAAGTCATACACATAATTGTCTCCTTGCTGTGTTGACTAAGTTTTTAAACCTTTGTGAGCGCTTTTTCGATAAATAGTATTATAAAAATGGCGCGGTATGCAAACGTTTTTTATTTAAGTTAGATTGCAAGCCGCAGGTTACTTTTGTGACCCGAGGGCACAGGTGCCGTTGTGACTTGTGCATTCTTTGTGTCGCGGCGGAATCCTTCAAACTATATTCGAGGAAAAAAAAAACAACACTGACTAATATTTGCGTCAAATGTATGCTTATACCTGAAAGGAAAGATATACCTAATATTCAATAAGAAGTTTTTTTTATTTTTCATCTTTAAAATATTAGTTTATTTAAAATGGAAATATGTTGAAAGACCCCTCCTTAAATTTCCCGTAAATCTTGAATGTATTATTTTATAAATATGTTATACCTCTAAAAGACTAAATTTTTGGAGTTAAAACTCTCTTTTCCCTTTTATAAAATTATTAAATCGTTATAATTATGCCTACTTCATCGCACTAGGTGTAACTAGTTATTTCCAAAGCTTTCTGGCTACCGATTTGTCTTTAATTTTTTATTTAGTTTCGGATAAAATTAGTTATGATGTATTGCATTCTAACGGTGTTGTGGGAACGTATCTAATTCTATAGATCAAAATGGTAAAAGAAAAGAAGATTACACGCCCTAATTTCGACAGGACCGTTACTACAAAAAGTTTCGCGTTTTTTCTACAACGATGATAATGGACTACGTTTCTGCGATTTATTTTTTTTCCATTCCTTTTTTGTGCAATCATATTCTGATGTTCACTGGGCCCAGCAGGAATAATTAAATGGAATGTGTCTGATCTCTTAATTTTTGAAAACATTAAAATTAGCTTGAAGAGAAAAAGTCTAGGTAAAATATAATATTTAGATTAGGATTTTGTTGCTTTGATATAAAAAAAAATAATTTGCATTTACTCAATATAAAGCTTTGTTATCCTTTTCATCCGTATAAAGAGGTGTACGAATTTATACGAAACTAATATGTTTCAAACAACATTTTTTGTTTGAACTAATTTTCAATGAACCTAACAAAAGTAGAAAAAAGAAAAAAAACCCTTTTAATATTACCAAAAAATGTAATGAATGTGCAAAATACTACAACTTGTAGACTCAATGACCTGCGATACAGTTCGTGAGATAATATGGTCTGGGACCTGAGGCGAATGGTCATGAACGCTTTATCAAACCAAGCACGAACGTCTGTATTTTAGCTTTTCTAATTCACAAAGTCTACGGTTGTATAGTCTGTTCGATATTAAAAATAAACAATTTTACTCTTTCATGTGTAACGAGTTCAGACGCGCAAGAATTTCTATTCGTATGAATTTTATTTTTTGTTCGCAGTAAATTAACATAAGTTGTTTTTTTTTAAAATAATGAATAACGAGTTTGTTTTACTAATATATTTGAATTTAATGGCCACTCATCCGCTACGATTGCTATCAAAGTCAAAGTTAAAAAGTTTTCTTTAATTCGGACTTGTTTCATGCAACAAGACTAGAAGCATGAAACAAGTCCAAAATTTGCCACTGGTTCTCAATTAGTCATGATGAACACCAAGAAACGAAAGTCGTATTCATTTAAAAAAAAAAAAGATAAATTAATTAAATTAACTATACATTTTACGTTAGTCAATTATTCTTATCTGAATAAGTTAATATTACGGTATTTTTCAGTTTTTTTATAATGGTTAAAGACCTGATGATCCCCATTGTTGATGTTTAAACCTTATATAAAGGATTAATATAAAGTTTAGATAAAAATTAAGCTAAACATCTTATTTTTACTTTACTATATACGTGCTTAACGGTGATATAACTATATGCATTTGCTATTAATAAAATCATTTTTTTCCGAATAAGAAGGTGCGTTTGAGGCAATAGCGAACAATTGTCACTAATGCAGGGCTCAATTTATTTATGAGACAGTCGCTAGGGGCGAGCTGGAACAAAGTCCTTAAACTACGATGGAATAGATAACATTATTAAATACATTAATTTTATTTAATACATTAATTTGCAAATAAGCTTTGAAGTAAATGCAACAAATAAGAGCTTTAATTAAGGTTATACATTTCCCAAAAGCTGCTTTTTCCACTTTTCAAGTCACTTATCCGTGCATTGTTTTAAATAACTTCCTTAGATAAGTGAACACTGAGAATGTTATGTGAATAATCCAAATCAGTTCAAAAGATTTTTCTAAACGCATACTTTATTGTCTGATCACTGATGTTTGATGCTTATACAATTCATTATCACAGTTGCTTTTAGTTGTTCGTGTGCACTTTTAACGAAGAGGCATAAAAACACATCAACATAATTATTGTGGCTTAACAATCACAATAAGCACTTAGTGCGTACGTGAGCGATTTAGAATGAGCAGTGGATCAACACCCTCGGAGGGCCTTGCGCGAAGGTTGCACGCGGAAGCGATGGCAGACGCGTTGTGGTGGCCACTCCAAGGTTTTCCCTGTTAGCGCGTAAGAGGAGGACATTGACTCAAGCATTGTAAACAGTTCCTTATCTCGAGCTTCGCCGTGCACCGCCGCCGTCCTGGCGACTCGCACGCAGCTTTTATCTGAAACTAAATTGTCAGCAGTTGTCGTCTAAATAAAATGCACATTTGCCCGCCGCCCGCACCGAGTGTGACGAACTTTAAAATAGCCCGTTCTTCGTTGCAAGATATCGTAGTGTCACATTGCATTGTTTTAATAAAGTCGAATTACATTGACGATACGAAGATTTAAAATTTCAATTGTCAGAAATAGTTTTCTAGTTTGTTAGACAAAAAAGGGTTTTTGGGTGATACGTGTTAATAATACATTTATTTCCATATAAAAATGGCACGTGAAAGCACAATTTCATTGCACATGCTTTGATAAAAAAGCATAACAAAAAGCCAAATGTGTCACTGCGGTTGCTATCGTTAAGAAATGGAGCTCGTTAATTCAAGTTAATTTTTAAGTTTACGTTAATAATATACGGAAGCATCGTTTCGGCGTCCGATATGATCTTAGAAAGGCGGGTGTACGTAGATAACAAACCGTCGTTGATATGAGCAGCAATTTAGAAAGCAGTTTTTTCGCCGCCACAACCAGCTGCCCACCAATCAAATGTGCATTGTGCAGTTGGGGTTGTTCGGCCTAAAATTGACGAGTCATGATTGTAGAACGTTTTCGTCAATTTTCGACAATGATCGATCAGTGAATGACTGATCAAAGGATTTACTACGTAACGTTTATATGTTTCCGTTCATCATTTCAGTGAATAATTTTTATGCGAATGCAACATTATTTTGAAATAATATAATTACGATGTTTTAAGTAACATATACTACTAATTCATAAGATGTTTTAAGTTTTTAAGTTAAAAAAATTGTTTGCAACCATTTGCCTTTGCTGTATCCAATTAAAAGTCTTAACGAGATCGCGTTGTTGAATATTAGCATGAGTAAAATGCAAATGTTCAAAGATCCGTTGATAATGCGTCTTAAAAATAAATATGTGAATAGTAATAATTTCCTAATTGTAAATGATAATTTGCAACGGCCTCAAATTAAATAAAACGCGGCTGGAGTGCGTATTTTAATTAAGGCCTTGCGTTAAATGGCTGTAACAATAGTTTTTTTTTAAGATGAACTCTGATGGCATGGTCAGTGCGAAGGCGGGAAGAGGGCAGGCGTCTTCGCGTAGGCGCGGAGAACGCAGCGAGGCAACGTTTCGTTTTTTACCTTTTTTTGCCGCCCTACCCTTGCTTCGCTTGCTTATGTGTACGGCGATCGTTTTGCTTTATTTTCATCTCCGGCGCACGACTTGCAGCGCTTGCAGGTAAATAACGATCCCCCTTTTCTTATTCGTTTTGCTATGAACTCTATACGGGCTGTGACGCATTGGTATTATGCGTAAACTGCACTGACATAATTATAGTCATGTCTAATGTTTCTTGCTGTTGTAACAATAATAGATTGTTTAGATCAGTAATAAATATTTATTTTTATAAACCTATAAAGATCAATTTAAAGTTACGAGAGATTGTAAAATAAAAAAAAAGAATATAACTTTTTCCTCGACTTTTATAGCAATTAAACTTCAAATTGCGTAGACCATTTAGCATTTAAAATTTGAACCCAAAACAGATGTATCCATAGTATTAAATCTCTTATAAAAGCCGAATATTTAAGATGGAAACACTCTCGTTCGAAATTCAAATTCACGCAAAGACCGTCCGCAGGAAAGGAGAGTCGGGGTTCCTTAAAAAAAACCCTCACATAATCAAATATCCTTCGCCCGCCGCGGTCCGCTTAAACTCTCGTTGGAAAACGCGCCGCGACCGAGGCCGAGCGTCGTCGTCGGTAAGTTCCTATAAGAAATTCTATTGCGCTACAGCGAACGCCGCGCCGGCAGTGTGCAACAGGGCCCGGAATCCGGGTTCGGGGTGAATACCCTCCGCTTCGGTAAAAACTATTTTCAAGGTTAGAATGGCGCGAGGAGGGGAGCGTCGCGGGTTGTGCGGCGCAGGGCGAATTCGGCGCGGCGCGGGCGCGGAGGCCGCGCGGGGAGAGGGAAGCGGGGGAGATACGCGGACGCGCCGAAATGCTGATAGCCCCCCGCGCCCCTCGCCCTCCTGCACCCCGCTGCCGCTCCGTCGTCGCTTGGGCAATTCGTAATTGGACGATCCTTTATACACCTACTGCATTAAGATTGAACATTCGAAGTTATACCATGACCTATATCATTTATAAAACATTAACCGAAAACTTTTTATAAGTATTCAACTCTAATGGAGCTAAAAGCTCGAAACACATTGCAATTGAATATGAAATTACGTAGTAGAGTCCTGGTAGAGTAGGTATGATAATCGTAAGATTGTTTCTTATGACATAAACTAATATTTGCTAACGTTTCTGTCCTATACCAATATTTATTTTCAATCTGCTTTTACTTACCGTACAGATGATGACGAAACTGAGTACTGAACAAGCTTAAAAAAACCCAATTGTTATTTTGCCTTAAGAGTGCATCGCAAGGACCTATCTAACTCCGATTCGGTGATGCGAGAGCCAGTTGCTGACCATTAAGCAATGTTATTGTGTTAATTAAAAAGTCGCATTGAAATTTGGGCGAATGACGCTTGCTACGTTTTTTGGGCATATCGCCGGTTCCCCTTCGTGTAATTCGCCATTAGTCGACGTTTGCACTCGGCTTTTTACCTTAATGAGCTCTCCCTATTGCCTCCGCGTAGCGCACGCAACCCACACGCATTTTTGTGCACCGAATGTCGAATGAAAACAATTCGAGAAAAATACCGTGAATGTTTCCATGAAATACGAAAGTTCAATCTGTTCTTTTAATAAATTTAAATTTTCATTAGTGCTAATCTCTGCACTTAAGATTAAACATTGAAATTTGTAGAAATTTTAATCTTTAATCTAGAGGTTAAGATGACGATGATGATGATGATTAGACGTTAAGATTTTCTTTGGAGGGGCAATCAGCCGTTTAGCTTAGTGGCTAAAGCGTCAGGCCGCGAATGGCGAAGACGTGGATTCGACCCCCACGGCGGCGACAATCTTTTCGTACATTTTCTACAAATTTTAATGTTCAATCTATTCTATTAAATATTTTAGCTTTGATGAAATGATGATGATAGTGAAATTGATTTTATTTAGGTATCATAAAACTGCAACAAATTCTTATTTAATTGTTCAGATATAATTCATCAATCCAACCCAAATTAGTAGGTTCTCTATGACAACCCATAATTTATATGAACGGAGACATATTTTTGCAGCGGTGGTAATTTGTAAAAAATTAAAAAAGATCTTAATTATCTACAGCAGTGTGAACAAAAGCAGAAGTTCGGTAGATAGATAATAGATTAAAATAAGAAGAATTTGGTCTGATTCTTTAATTGTACAACTTTAGGTTTCATAACGAAATCAAAAAACTATTTGGATGAGTCTAATCAAAAATGTGTTGCAGTTTTAGGATACGGACAAGGTTTATTATAATTAAGGCCGAGAAAATCCTTAACCTTGTAGCAAATGAAAAGGGGTTATTGTGCGTTTTTCAGGCAAATAATGTAATCATTGTTATTGTTAGTATATTTATCATAGATTTATAACTGTTCGTAGTACGTAGTTCGTAGTAGTTCGCATAGATTGTATGATCGCCGTAAGATGATTACTAGTGACAAAGTTTAAAATTCGATTCATATTTTTGTAAGTTGGCAATATTCAAAGCTTAATAATAAGAAATATTGTTGTTGATAACCGGTAATTCCCTTAACTTTTCATGGGTTAAGTATTTATTTCATTTATTTTCAACAATTGGTTTTATTGTAAAATGATTTATTGAATTTAATCAAAATACAAAGATGTTGCGAGAATACTCGATTGTTTATGATTCTATTGCCCGATGTATCTAAGATTATTGACGTACGACACTTGAACACATAATTTATTAATTTTTCTTAACAATGGTCGAAAAAGAAAACATATTTATTTTTTAATAGAGTTCTAGTGTTTTTAATTACATTTTGAAATAGAACGCCATAGGATAATTGGATAATATTAAAAATTTTGTAGGAAACATGTTTTAAAAAGGATTTGTGTCTGACGCAGCCTTTAAAAGAGTCTCGGGAGTTGGTAGAGGTGGTAATAAAAAAGCACTGGCCATTTTCTAAGGTTTTAGTTTAAAAAGGTGTATTAATTATTTGCTAAAACAAATCATTTGTTTCATTGGTCAATTTCAGTAACGTTGCGTTTGTGGACGAAAAGTTTCGTTCAGGCTTCGCGGCGTAACAATTAAAGTGGGCAGCGTTGGGATAGTGCGTGCAGTGGGTGCGTGTGATAGCGATCTGGTCCCCTCCCGCGCCCCCCGCACCTACGGAACAACATTCGGAGTATTTGTGTGCGGGAGGGTTTTTTGCGCGAAGCCAAGGGTGGCGGAGCGGAGCGCAATCGCCCGCCGCCACAAAAAAACACTATTAAATAACTCAACAGAACCGCGGGGCGGATTGTGCGTGATCGCGCACCGGCCGAATTAACGCCGCCGACAATGTATTCGGATTAGCATCGCCTTACGCCCCGACGAAAGGCGAAGAGGAAGAAAGGTGCTGCGCGCATTGCGAACCTCAAACAATACATAAATTATAACGTTATGGTTTCTTTTTTCATACAGGAATACTAATATATTATATTAATTTATAATTTTAAATATATTCAATTAAACATAATCAATGGATCAACGGATTTATCGAATTTAATTTTGTTTCCAAATAATACGTAAATAGATAAGCATGTAACATTATTAACTGTTAGCTATTCAGCATTATTATTTAAAAAAAAAACGTAAAAGTAGCTTTTAAAATTTTATAGTGGGCAATTTAGTTCGGCGACTGAAATTGAAACATATGTTTAGTATTATACTGTTTCTACAATAGGTAGTAATAGTAGTAAACAATTAAATTATAATAATTGTGTGGTCCCGCGTTATTCCAAGTTCGACTCTGTGTCAACCTGATCTGTCAGACGTTAAAAAAATTAACCTAAAAACTCGCTGCATATAAGAACAGCGAGATTTCCCGCCAACACGTCTGCGATTTATTTCGAAATCGGCGTATAATTCTGTTTAGCAGATTTCCATAATAAAAATAGTTCTTAAAATTATAAAGACAAAATCGACGTATCAAATCAAAAATACAAACGTTTTCCTAAACTTTTCTAAAACCGAGCGTAGCGAAAATATTTATCATTATATCCGATAAAAAATTACATCAAATACTATCGAAATCACTAATATTTCTCTTTATCTCGTATAATATTATTACCGATCATAAATGACCAAATATTTCGTACTTCTTATTTTGTAACCAATGTTCCATGTGTTTGCGTTTTGTTTTAAATAATTATATATTTATATCGATTCCACGTGAGGGTGGTGTTGAGCCTTTTAATTTCCACATTGATTCTATTTTACGACGTTTGTACAGCGGTGCCCTGATACAATTTGTTTATTCTAAATGGTAACTGCTGAGATTTGTAACTAAATATAGGCACTTTGAGAGAGATCTGTTTTGGTTACAGAGCCTCGTTATTGGTTTCACCTTCGGGTAGGTCTTGGCCAGTTTGTAGTAATGTTTTAATAATGGCTATTGTACGGATGTTTCCGATCTTACTGATAATAATTGATGTCCCGTATGCTTGCGACACCCTGTTTATAAACAAACTATTGGTTGTCTAGTGGTCAAATTTCCACTTAATTCATTTAATTTCAAATTTCAGTAATTAAAAACATTTTCATGTATTACATAAGTAAACGGTAATTTTAATTTCTGATATTTACCTTATACAATATTCACGCAAATGTTATTTAATTTAATTTGATATAATGTTCATATTTACATAAAATATTGAACATTACTAACTTATAAGAGCAGATGCGAAAAATTCGGAGACAAAATACAATAGGTAATTGAAAAGTTACTTTACGGGTGTTCTTGAACTCGATACTATATTTTTTTGAATTTGGTTCAAAAAGTTTGAGGAGTAGCGCAAACTAATTGAGAAATTTGAAAATACGCTTCAGACCACTTGCAACTTTTTGAAAATGCCATTAGTTTGTTATGTCATTAACAGACGAACGTAATGGTTGCGACCCAAAACATGTGTCAGAAATTCGATATTCTTTCAACAAGTAGCAAACAAGCCGTGTCAATGTAATGGCAGTAAGTTCATAAATCACTCAATTAGACTCGCATGCATTTCCAAAAATATAGCAAATCTTATAACTGAAACATCATTAATCACAGATCGTGCGCAGAGTAAGTAGGGTAGGACAGGATAAGTGAGGATTTTTTATAGAAATATGTAGTTAGAAAAATTTTGGTTCTATTTACTTAGGTAATACGATTATGTCTGTTATTACACTCGTTTACAATTTAATCCAAGGAAAGTGTGAGTAAGCACAAAAATTCTGGAAAATCTTAAGTGTACTTTTGTTTAAATATAGCTTCAAGTTAAATGTAGCTTCTTTTCTAACCATAAACGAAAGAAAGATTACGCATATCGGTGATATATAAATTAAGTGAAAAAAAAATAAAGTCACTAGATTTTTTCAAGAAACATCTCTGGCAAACACTATTTGAAAGAAAATTTGATATTTAATCGCTATCTCAGATGGTTTTATAGACGGTTGAAATAAATCATCATAATGTTTATGAGCCTAGCCAGACTTATAAGAAATGAGATTTATACAGTAAACTGTATATTCTATTTTTACTATTTAGCTTCTTTGTACCAATTAATTTTGATAATACAAAAATAACAATAATAAACAATAACAAATCTTCGTTAATCGTCACAATAATCATAGAAGCATTACGTTGTTACACTGAATTTCAGTAATATTAGTTGTAATGTATTAGTTGTAATACGAGGGCCACGCAGCAGCTTCTGCTGCACGAATGGACAGGCTCGTCCAGTTAAGTACCACGGCCTCAAGGAAGACCGCCGTAAAGTGGTAGTATAATATTTTAGCGTTTCATGAGGTGTGTGAGGTAAATGAGCCCACTTTTTTACAGGCTGGTAACGCATCTGCAACTCCTCAGGTGTTATTGATATCCATTATGCGTCAAAAGACGGTGATCACTTAACACCAGATG